GACTTTGATTGATCGTTCGGTTGAGTGTGGCTTTTGCTTGCTTGTGCATTTCATGTTTTTGTTTCATCTTCAGCGCTTCACACGGAGAGTACTCTTCATTTCCCTTCGCATTCAGTAGAATTGTTAAACTGTTTTGATGACGACTTATTTTGAGCTGCCGTTGGAAGTTCGTTACTCAGTACGTTTTGCATAAGATCCACTAACAGTTGTTTTTATTCTCTGGAGGCAAATGTCATTCGGTGCCGACATCGTGATAAGTTGCTTTTATGATTGGGCGTTGTTCGAGATATGATGTTTTTGAGTGGCGTTGCTCTTTGTGATCCATGGTAATGCATTTTTGTTCGGTTTTTGCCGTCGTTGACGTTGTGAAGCGCCCAACAGGTAGCGTTTTATCGTTCGACCAGAATTTGTTCTTATTCTGAGGTTGCCGTTATTAAGCCGATTCAATCTTTAGCTTCCGTAAGACCGACTTTTTGATCTACGTGTTGGATATGTTCAGAGAACGAGAGGCAAAATTACTAAGTAGCGCTTTGGCAAAGCTGATTTTCACTGGTCGAGCTCGCATGTCTGATTTAAAGAGGGTGGCCATCGTTGGATCCGGGATCATGGGATCCGGCATTGCTCAGGTGCCATTTGTGTTGTTCTAATTTCTCTTATTGTTCCTTTTCTCCACAGGTATGCGCCCAAAGCGGAATGGACGTTAGAATAGTGGATCAGTCAGATTTGATTTTGGAGCAGTCGATGAAAAATATCGAAAAGAATTTGTCACGAACTGCGAAGAAACTACATGCCGAAGATCCTATGGTGAGCGAATTTAACTGCGCAATAGCTACTCATAGTGTTTCTGTCACAGAAGGCAAAAAGCTTTGTCAAGGATGCCCTTATGCGCATCTCTCCTCACCTCGACCTGAAGAAAGCCGTATCTGACTGCGACATAGTTATTGAAGCTGTGGCTGAGCATCTGAATATGAAACAGACGTTATTCACTGCTGTTGAGGCTGCCACTTCAAGGTTATTTTACCATTTTTCTTTGTAACAGTTAATTTAAAATTTTCACTCGAACATGCAACTGAATTCTTTACCTTGGCCAAAAATTTATTGTCATTGAATGGAAAAAGGTCTCAACGGTGTCTCCGCTTTCATTTGTACGAGACCTTTGAATTTAATAATCAATGTCTTTTTCTATTCAGAAGAATTGCAACGTAAATGCCTAAGTTTCGGGAATGTTCTTGTTTCGGATTTCCCAGACCTTGATCAGTTGACAGATAGGTAATTTTGGAATCATTTTAGAATATTTCTTTCTTTGAAATAACGTAAAATATGATTCTCTGGCCACTCCGGTGACTAACCGATACCGACGTTTCAGCCTCTGTCTCACTGGCCTTCATTAAGGTAGGTTGGTCGTCTGCAGCAGTCGATGGTTTCGGAGCCGGAAGGTCTTCTGGTTTGCGAAACTTTACCACCAACCTACCTCGAAGAAGGTTCCTGACACACTGGCCGGTGTCGGTATTGGTCATTCACTGGACTGACGACTATCTTTTGCGTTGTGTATAATTAAACCGTGTTTTACTCAATTTTTCTTAATCATTTTTTAATATTATCTTTCACATGCCATGCATGTGCTTCGTCTATTCGGACTAGACGACATTTCCTTATGCTATCGTAATAAGAACGATGATTTCAGTCCTTCCTCTTGGTGATCAGAATGAGAATTTCCGCTTAGAAATAAACTGCCTTAGATGATCGTTATGGAGTTCGTAACAGAGCTCAGGGCTACCAAAGTGAATTAGGATTATGCGACTTGATCACCGTCTTCCTGCTGTGTGATTCTGCACATATTGTTCCCTCTTAACTACTTCGAATGCGGACGATGGGTTATGGACCATCATCCTGGAAACGTAATAAACGAAATCTCCCGCATGTACACTAATCCGTTTTACTATATTTTAGCGTGGCCATTTTATCCTCCAACACATCTTCTTTGCCACTGTCAGAAATTGGCGAAAACCTAAAAGTAAAGCAACGCTTTGCTGGTATTCATTTCTTCAATCCAGTTTCCATCATGAAACTTGTCGAGGTGGTGAAAACTCCTTTTACTTCCATGGATACTGTTGAAACCTTGGTGAAATTCTGTCGCACTCTGTCAAAAGTGCCGATTGTCTGTAAGGTATGTATAAAAATTGTTCTTTCGTTTGTATCGCGTATAATCTGCTCATAAATTGATAACCTGCTGGTGGAAGCTAAGAAATATTTCTCTTTCATTGGCAAGTTTTTGAAACGCTGGAGTGACGATTAATCAAGTTTCCCCTATTTTTGCATTAATTTTTATGCAACAGTTTGAAAATTTGGTTTCACCCTGACCGGGGACCGGTTCCCATGTATTTTCGCCATCTTTCATGAATGGAAACTATGAAAATTCCAACACTATCAATAACCTGTTCTCACCAAACATCCAGTTTGTTGTTAAAACAGAAAATTTGTCCTAATCTTCCTTTTCTGGATGTTACCATACGTAACCGTTATTGTTATAAAAGTAAAGTTTATGTTAAAGTTGCTAATACTTGTAAGTGTTTAAATTGTAGTGTCCGTGACTATGCAAATAATTATTTAATGAAGAATTATGCCGTGCTGAAGGTGACTGATTTTCTGATTGTATGGTTTGCAGCATGGGAAATAGGAAAAATGCTATTTTCAGAAATTCTAACGTTTCGATCAAATTGATATCTGAATCTCGCATCTGGCTTCTGATAATATCTTTTATGTCGAAAGTGGATTAAAACGACACAGGTGGATGAACTTTCACGTCGTCCAACGTGATTTGCCTTGAAAAGGTGGAGAGTTAAAATTGTTCATAATCCTTTTCTTCACTGCAGAAACTACAGTGAAAAGTTCAAGACTGTTACATCACTTCATTTCACTTCACTTTCTATGACAGCTTCTCCTTTTGGGTCTCCGAGGCACATGCGCCAGTCAGTGCTTCAAACGTTCCCGATCCTGAGCCACAGTCTGAAGACTTTGGCAGAAGACATCTGGAGTATGGAGCAGATTCCTTCCATATATTTGCACCAGGTTGATCTTGGCCTTCCCCTGAACCTTCTACTCATTGACTGGGCAAGAAATAGTTGCTTCACCTTTTCTGGCGGTATTAGCAACGCATGCCCAAACTATCACAGCTGTGACTTCTCAGTCTGAAGAAGCAGCGGCTCTACACCAAGCCTCTCGCGGATTCCTCTGCTCTTGACCATGTCGATGCGCGTAAGGCCGGCGACTCGTCTCAGAAGCCCATTTTAGCCGCTTGTACCCGCGATCGACGTTTTAACTCATGTTCCAAGATTCATGACTGGGATGAAGATCGACTTGAGAACCGGAAGTTTAGTGTTCAAACTCAGCTTTCTTTTGGTCACAACGTCACTGTCTATTCCAGTCCGCTGGTCGATCTCATCCTCATATTTTCCATCATCAATAAATACCACCCAGAGGTATCTTAACTTCATCTTATCCACCACTTCTCCGTTAATCTGAAGTGAACAACGGACAGGAGAACGAGGGAGCACTAGGCTTTTCGTTTTAGATGCGTTCACTCGCATGCCGGTCACGTCACGCTCCGCTGCGAACCTTTCCAGAGAGCGCTGTAGATCAGTCCCAGAAGATGTCAATAGGGTTATCTGCAAACACCAACCTTCTCATCTCTACATCTCCTGTGCTGATGCACTGCTCGCCATGGCTACACTTAACTATTTTATTCAAGCACAAAACAGTCATGAGGAGGGACAGAACGCAGCCTTGGGTATGGGGGGGGGGTTGTTGTTTCTAATAGCATAATATATGATGGTTGTATCAAACGTGAGACTTAACAATAGCAATTTGTAAAGTTAGTAAATCCAGAATGCCGAAGGTTAATTTTCATGCTTAACTTAAGGTTTTACTGCGTAGTCCTAAGAATGAAGACCTTCTAGTCTG